ATTTTAATAAAACTTTGTGTGGATTTGTTCCTGCGTCAGAGGAACATATTTTGCTAAAAACTCGCTTCTTCTTTTCGTGAGATTCGAACAAGAACGCTTCCAAAAGCAGGCTTAAGACGGACCATGTCAGTCAGTTAAAAATTATAAAACGCTTTACAATTTATTATAAAAGAACATAATAATGTAATAAATAAATAAAATAATTTTTGAAAATTGTGTATTTTTCCTCAATTGTCAGAAATAATTCCTCAGAATGTGCCAGCTTAAATTCAATCGGAATTTTTAGGTTTATATTATGCGGCTCTTTTATTCTGAACAGCGCCCATTTTTTTACGCCTTACGACGGATTGAATCCACAAAATTGAACCTGGAGAAATTTWTTAAACAACTGTGTTGTAGATATTGTATCTCGGAGGGATTCGGTGTTTTTGGCCGTTTTTGCAAGATATACATAATCTGCTGTTTTGTTTGTTCTGGAAGATTTTTGTTTGGATGCTAAATTCTGAAGGTTATTGAGCTTCAGGCTTCTAATCATTTTGTTTCGTTGCATTAGGATCGGTGTGAATCTGAACCCAAGAGTAATAGCTTTTGAGGATATTTTTAAAGTGTTGCAGAACATTGCTTTACAAACTATAATTCCTTTTCTTGCATAAAAAAAGCTGCTGGATGTGGTTCCTCGACTTACGCTTCCAAATTCCAGAACTCTTAGAAATCGGGTTGTTTTTCTTCCTCGTTAATTCTATAGCTAGCACTCAAATGCATAATTTTTCTGCGGTTTTTTACTGTAAATTTATTGCCTTTTCTACACAAATATATGCCTCGTTTTGATTATTTTTTCTTACTACTATTAGGCGCACAGCGTTCATTACTTAGTCGGTTTTTTGCGTTTTCAATTTTTTTGGTTGTTTTGGGTTGTTTTACGTAGTAAGCAATAGCTTACTACGACGTTTGCAGTTGACCTGTAAAATTGTTAAATAACAGGGAAACAGAAATATTTTTTTTTGCGCAAAAGCTATGAATGCTACAAAATTTTCCWAAGAGACCAAAAATGTTTAGAACGGATTAGTRCATGAACYGAAAAAAAATTAGTTGATTCCAGCCACCAAAAAAAAGCTCTGGTAGTTTTCGTCCGACTTCTCTCCGAATGACAGTAGGTAAGCATAAATATTCGAAAAACGTTTCCGCAGCCTTTGATGAAAAATGACTGKAAATTTTTTTATTATTTTTTTTTAATCTTTAAAATCTTAAGAAATATTAAAATCCGATATTCAATCAGTAAGTTATTTAATTATTATTATTAGTAGTAGTAGTATTTTTATACAGAGTGTCCCAAACTTATTTGGCATTACTTCACCAGCAAATTGTACGGTGAAGAAAAAATTAATTCTTTATGACAACCTGGAGCCTCAAACGCCTTGCTATTGAAATACTGGACAATTTTGCGGTTGAGTGAGATTTGAGAATTGGGAATTTTGGGAATAATTGCAGTTTATGGTGAAAAATGTTTGATTATATGATTTTTGAATATTGATTTGAAGGTTCGATCAAAACCCATTAAATTAAAATGTCCAATACTAACCATTTCTATGTTATAATGAATAGAGATTGGGACTGACGTTTTCATAAAAAATATCTGCAATATAAGCACTGATGACTTTCAATTTAAAATTTTCAAATCTCCAGTTGACTTTCAGTATTTAAAAACATTTTATGTTCACTAGGTAAGCTTTATAGGGTTTTTGTGGGTAGTATTACATAGCAATACCTTATACATTATTGTTCTTGGTTATACTGGCATTAGTTTTGTCCAAATCGGCACCCGCATCAAATATTGAGGTATATATTACGTATACAGGTTTCAAGGGAAAGCTTTTATTAGTTACTTCCAATGGCAACTTTACAGTCTCTTTGCATCGTGGCCGAAAGAGGCTTTCAAATTTGTCTGATAAAATAGCATTAATCCGGCCCTGCTACTATTTACTGCTAAATTGCCATTTTAAAGAACCAACTTAAATTTTATAAATGATATCACGTATTAAATAACACAGAAAAAATGATTGGAATTATGTATGACCTAGAATCAGCCTTATGAATGTTAATATTAGCATTACATCTCGTATCATGTTTGAATATATTTGGAAAACATTCAACTATGGTGCTTAGTGGCGACATAAATCGTATTGGCTTCAAATAATTCATTTAATCTAAGAAAATGAAAAATGATTAATAAATAATCTTTACCATTAGGAAACAGATTATGCTTATTTTTCCATTTGTAGAAAACAATGCATCTGTTTAAATTGTGCGATTTTACATTTAGTCACGTCGCATAATCCAAACATTATTCATGAAATAAATACATGTGTTCGTTTCGACGTTTTTGCTAATCCGCGTRAATTACCAATGCCGTATTGAACTTAATATTTCAAACATTAATTAATTAATGGAGTAAAGTACTATCGATGAAGAAAAAGAAGCTTTGAGTTTGTTKATTTGAATAMATTTTAGAGTGAGTTGAATAAAACAAACTGTATTATCGCCAGTAACATATTTGAACMCCAAATACATTCAAACTCGTTTATATTTCACTAGAAAGCTTCTTCTTACCTGCAAAAATAACAAAAAATATTGTAAAACTTTGGTAGTATTTCAACTGAAATCAATAACCTAGTAAAACTACTTACCACTAAGGAACATTATATTTTTTGGCTTTCGCATATTGTTTCCCTACGGCTTGGAGTTTTATTGCCTGCTGACTTCGGCGTCTCCATTACCGAACACCGCCAAATTGGTATCTGCTTGGTGGCCGTTTTGATTTACCTCTGCAGGCTGAGGAGCATCTATTATAAGGCCGCCGCCTTCTTCGTCACTACTATACGAATCACCTTCATCATCTGAACTTGAAAGCATCCCTGTAAAATGAATACAAAATAATATCACGTTTAACTTAATTCAAATAAAAATGACCGAAATGCAATGAGTCCAAAGCGACGGGACAAGTTTGGCTCGGTTATAAATAAAAATAAATTTGATGTGTGATTGAACGTTAATGCAATTTGTTGAAGCATTAAAATGCATAATTTTTCAAAATTTTTTCCACTGTTTTTTTGAGTGATAAAAATATTTAAAAACTTTTTACGCGACTTCTGTCCATTACGATTATACGTGATATATATTTTTTATTTTTCATCATTGTTGACTGTACTGTACGTACTATATGTTGTAGTATTTTGTTTTGCTTTTTTTATTCGCTTTGTCCATAAAATTTGTAAATTTTTTCATGGAAATAAACCATATTTTGATTTGAGTTGATTCATGTTACTAGCAGATTTTAAAAGCACTTTTGGCTCTTTTCTTTACAAGGTTAACTATATAGGAAGTAGACATAAAATTATTACAGCTTAAAGAGAATAGAGAAGTTTTTCCTTCTTGAAAGTATCTAGATTTTAGTTATTCTTTTGTGAATAGATTAAACTATATATGAAAAGTGTGACCATATGCACCGCAAAATCAGCATATATGTAAGAAAGTATAAGGTAAAAGTTAGGATTTCGCGAACATTGCTTGAAACTGGTGATATTTTCGGGCTTTTAAGTCGTGAAAAAGAATACTTTCATGTTGAACATGATGTTTCGCATCCTCAGAGCCGTTTCGCTTGAAAACTTTTTTATTCGACATTTCAAGTACGCAATCTCCTAGATATATGATATGATATATGATTATTCAAATATTCCTATTCAAATTTATTCAAAAACTTATTAAAATCATAAATATTTACTGTGATAATCAAAAGCTTCAATAAT